CGGATCATATTGTTTCTGCTGATAAAAGACCCACTTGAGCTTTCTCCACCACATTTTTGAAGTTTATGACAAGACTAGTTTCCTTCACAATCACAGAATCACTAGATATGATAAAGAGGGGCTGATGCTGGCCCATCACTTAAGTTAGGGAGTTCTGAACTGCAGTGGCCTAAGCCAGTCAGGTGTCCCCATTGGGTCTAGCCCAAGGTGGTGAGTCTTGAGGTTGAAGACAGAACAGTCCAAGCTTCCATACTGATTAACTGTGGGATCAGGCCAGGAAAGACCATTGCACTTCCAGTTTCAAAAAAAAATCATAGCCTCTCATAACTGGGAGGCAACTCAGAAGTTTCTAAGTGAGCCTGTACCTGAACAGAAATTCCCTTACAACATCCCCAAATGGTCTTTAGTAATCTAGACTCTTCTGGGAGACCTCCAGTGAGGGGGAAGCCATTACTTATCAAGGCAGCCCATCTCATGCTGGAACAGCTCTGGTTGTTAGATCTTGACTGAGTCCTGATATAAGGAGCTCACTTCAGAGAAATCCTGCCCTGTTTCTTAAAGCCTTCTGTGCCCAAGAATACAAGAGAACAGATGAGCCAGAGCATGAAGAAAGGACTCTGGAAATGAATTTGAAGAAGGGTTTGGAGAAGAAACAGTACAGAAGGGTAAAAACACTAGAAGAGCCACAAGTCCTGGGTTACAGTCCCTGTCCTGACACTTCAAAGCACCCCAGAATGTGACAGCTGGAAGGGGCCTGAAAGGCCAGCTAATCCAACATGTACCTCACAAGATTATGACATCCCCAAATAATATTCCACTGGGCCTTGCTTAATTGTTAGGAAATTTCATTACACCTAGCCAAAATCTGCCTCTCTAATTTCATATTCACAGAACGTCAGGACCCTCAGAACCCATGTAGTGCAGGCCATACATACTGCCCCAGAATCCCCTCTGGCTGGGCAACTATTTAGTTCTGAACTGTCTAAACTGTACTATTGTCTTGGTCTCATTCCTCGTGGTCATCTAGCTTCTGCTTGAAGATCTTGAATGAGACAGGCATCTGCTGCCTCCCAGGTCAGCCTATCCCACCTGGGGCTTATGCTGCTAGGAAGTGCTTCCTTATATTGAGCCTCAATCTTCCTCTCTGCAACCTCTACCCACTACCTCTAGTAATGTCTTATGGGGCCAAGTGGAACAAGCTTAATTCCTCTCCCATGTAAGGGCCTTTTAAAGACTTAGAGACAATTACATCCTTCCATAGGCTTCTCTTTTCCTAGCTAAACATCCCCGGCTCCTTCAACCACTCCTCAAAGAGATAGATCTCTACTCCATGTTCTTCTCCTCACACACCTTCTCACTTGCCACAGCTTGTCATTTTTATCTCCGTACCATTTTTCATGTCTGGCCTCCCATCTATGTCTTAGCCAAGTCAATGACAGAAAGGGCAAACAGCTTAGTAGCAAGTACAGATCCCTGGGGTATTCCCTTGAAGACCTCTTTCCAAGCTAACATCAAACCTTTAATGACTATTTGGAAGAAAGGGAGTGGCCATCCAAACAATTCTGAATCTACCGAACTGTACTATTGTCCAGGCCACAACCCCCCTATCTCTGTCCCCATCTTTTCTACAAGAACAGCATAGGAAACTGTCAAATGCTTTGCTAAAATCTAGGTGAAATTCTGCTGCAAAGCCCATTGGTACAGAACTCTCCTTATTGATGCAGATGAATCCCCTAAGCTGTGTGAAGGGTGGGGTGGAGCTGGTGAGAGACAGAGAGCTCAAGTTTTTGACAGTCCCCTTGCGGGACTCTTCAGGGCTAGTCCCCTTTGTCAGGGACTTATCAAGCTTCAAGGCTTCTTCAAAGTGTCCAGTAGCTTCGTGAGCTTTTGGCGTCTAGCTTCAAGAGGGAGAAGATGGAAGAGGCCAACCCCACTTTAGGCTGCTGAAGGAGAAGACTCGGGGCAGCTCGGTGGCACAGTGGATAGAGCACCAGCCCTGGATTCAGGAGGACCTGAGTTCAAATCCGGCCTCAGACACATAGCACTTACTAGCTGTGTGACCCTGGGCAAGTCACTTAACCCCATTGCCTATCCTTTAAAAAAAAAAATTAAGGAGAAGACTCTGGGAAGACGAGAGGAATAAGCAGTCTCCATTATGTCCCTACTCCCAGCTTGCCACACTAGAGACGGTAGGGAGTTCCCCTTGGGTGCGATCCAGGACTCTCTTAGTTGAGCTATCTCTCTCAATGGGAGAGCTCCTTCACTCTGTATCATCTGGCATATATTCTCCTAAGTATACCTTCTCTGATTTCTGTTTTATGAATTGGATAAATGGGTTTCATTGCTATTTGCTATGTGTGTTCATTACCGAACTGGAAAGGGTTCATATAGAGCTTAGAGTTTGCCTTCTTCCCAAGAAATGACAAAGTGACACAAAGTGATCAAAGGTTAGTTTGAACCCAATCATATTCCCTAAATGAATATCTAAAGGAACAGATATATTTCTAGCCTAGTACTTCCCCTCTCTGAGGAGAGCAGAGTGGCCTCTGGTCTTAACTTTCTGCTTCTTCTCCTGGCAGGAATGATAGCCTCCCTTGGAAAAAGGTATGGGGAGAAAAGGCTCGAGATATTTATTCTGCCTCCCTTCAAGCCACACAGCGACAGTCTTTGCTACAGGTGGGCTCCTCTCTCTCTCTTTTTTTCCATCAGTAAAATGTATCTACAGCATCCTTCCAATCTACCTGTCAAAAAAAGAAACCGAGTTTACTGTTGCATCATCTATGCTGAACAACACCATGTTGATTGTGATGATCACTTCCTTTTCTAGACAGTCACTGACCAGCCTTTTAATATTATGTTCTAAAATTATGCCGAGAATTGAAAACAATAGGTAGCAGCTTATAACATGTAAATTCCAGTCTCTTCCTTTTTTGAAAATCTATCCTATAGCATCTCTCCTATTTTCCACAATCTCCTCTGTACCCACCTATTCAATGAAGTTTAAGTACTTACAGTACAAAACAACAAGTATTTACTAAGCTCATACTGTGTGCCAAGTGCTAGGGATACAAAGAAAGGCAAAAGACAGTTTCCGCTCTCAAGGAGCTCACCGTCACTATACAAACAAGATATGGACAGGATAAATTTGAAATAATCTCAGGGGAAAGGCACTAGCATTAATGGGGATCAGGAAAGACTTCTTGTAATAGATGAGATTTTAGCTGGGAGTTGGAGGAAAGCCAGGAGATAGAGATGAGGAGACAGAGAATTCCAGGCACCAACAACAGCCAGTGAAAATGCACTGAATCAGGAGACAGAATATCTGGAGTGAGGCACTGCAGGGAGGCCTGTGTCACTACTGAGGAAATCCATAATCTTTGGAAGATCACTGAAAGTAGCTCAGTCATCACATCAGTCAGTCGTGTCACCACCGTGGGATGGAGGTCATTTGGCTCTAACGACTTGAGCCAGTCAAGGACAACTAGGTGCTTTTTTTATTATCTCCTTACTTATCTTGGGTTCTGATTCCCTAACAGCAATTTTCCCCTTGTTCCTTCCAGTTCAGAGATCATTATTCTTGGCAGAGAAAATGGAAGTAAAGTAAGACTTTATCAGCTCTGCCTTCTCTGCATTGCTTCTTGTCATCATTCCATCTACCCCCAAGCAGTGGTCTGATCCCTCCTTGGAGCTTCCTTCCTGGGCAATAATAGTAATGATAATGATAACTAGCATTTATGTAACAACAACCCTGTGAAGCAGATGCTATTGGTTTACATTTTACTAATGAGAAAACTGAGTCTGACAGAGGTTAAATGACTTGCCCTGGTTCACACAGCTAGTGAGTGTCTGAGGCAAGATCTGAACTCCTCTCCATGAAAAGAAATGACCAGGGGCAGCTAGGTGGTGCCGTGAATAGAGCACCAGCCCTGAAGTCAGGAGGACCTGAGTTCAAATCCGGCCTCAGACCAAACACTTCACACTTACTAGCTGTGTGACCCTGGGCAAGTCACTTAACTCCAATTGCCTAAAAAAGAAAAGTGACCACTTCCCTAGCCTCAGCATCCCCATATGTAAAAATGAAATGGTTAGAAATAGATGGTTTTGCAGTCCTTTCCAGTTCTTGTATTCTATGTTTCCATCAGGACTATAGCCAGGACAAAAAGATGACCTATTAGGCAAGTGAAGGATGCTGAGCTACTTGAAGACCCTTGGGTGCTAAGACTAATTGATCTTAGACTGGACTCTGGATTAAATAATATTTAATAATAATAATATATACATAATAATATTTAAGGCCATTTCCAGATCTGACATTCTATGATGCAATGAGGAGTCTGCTGGGATCATAGATGAATTATAATTAGAGGACCCTGGTGTGAGGAGACTCAGACCCTTGAGTTCTAGAGCTAAGTGACCTTGGAGGGAAAAAACATCCTAGTATCTTTGAGACTTAGAATTCCTGGGCCTTCGGTGAGTGTAAAGCTGGTCCCTATCTGTTTGTATCATATAGCACTGATCTTTAGAGTCCAAGGACCTAGGGTTGAATCCAGGCCCTCCAATTTACTACCTGGCTCTGTTTCCTCATCTATAAAATAAGGAGGGGATGGGTTTAGACTAGTGACCTCTAAGGTCCCTCACAGCTCTAAATTCTAAATGTTCAATCTTGTGATCCTTTCCCCATCCTGGGCCCTGGGGCTGGTCAGGGTCAGGGGATTGTGGGACTCTCTCCAAGACTGTTGGCTGGTCTGGCCACAAGGTGCTGATACCAGCACTTCAAGGGTCTATTATCTCAACAGTCTATTATCTCATCTGGGGCACACAGGATGCTTCTGAGATATCCCTCTATGTCTTAGTAACGTTGCTATGATTAAAAACCTCATTGCCCTGCAGCCAGACACAGGATAAGTCTTTGCTAAGTTGGCCAAGCCAGCCTTTGGACCACAGCCATACAATCCATCCCAAGACTGTCCAGCTTGTTGATTATCCCTTGATCTTTTTACCTGGGGGGCAAGATGGAGTTCAGGATCTCTTCAGCCTGCTTGGTGGGGTCTGGGGTAGCAGAAGTAGAAGGGGTGGCCTTGGTTTTGGGAGGCTGTGGGACTGGCCCTGTAGCCAATGGCTGCTGAGGGCTGACCTTCAGGGGGCGGGCCTGGGAAGGAGGTGACAGAAAAGCTCAGACACCTGGCCCTCAGAACTGGCCTTGGGGCAGCCATGGCCCTGGTTCTTTTCCTTTCCTTCTTCTCCTTATTTCTCTCTTTCTACCCTCTCATCTTCTGCTATCTCTCTTCTCATGATACCCCTCTTCTCCTCCTTCCCCCTCCCATATGTCTACCTTCATCTTCCCGTTTCCTCATCCTACCACCATCTTTTCCCCTTCTTCTATAGCCACTTGTGATCCCTCCTTTTATCCACTTTTCATTCTTCCTCTTTCTTCCTAATTTCCACATCTTCCTTCCCACATTCTCTTCCTTCCTCTTTGCTCCTCCCTCCTATAGTCTCCCCCCTCCCTTTGCTTCTCCCACTGTCTTTTTTCCTCTCAATCTTCTTCCCTCCTCTCCCTCTTCCTAGTTCCTCCATCCTCCTCCCAACTGCATCTTTCTTTCTCCTTCCCATTCTTCTTCACGCTTCTTCCGTCTTTTCTCTCCTCCTGTTTTCCTCTTCCCACTTTCACCCCCTCCTCACTCCTCCCACTATTTCTTCCGTTCTCCCTCTCCCTTCTTCCCCCTTCTTCTCCTCCCTCATCCTCTCGCTTCCCACTCCCTCTTCCATCTTCCCCTTTCTTTCCCTCTTCCCGTCCATATTCTCTTCCCTTCCCCTCCCTCCTTCTCTCCCTGCAGTCCCCATTTCCGGGCCCTGGGTTCTACCTTGGGGCTCCGCTTCTCAGTGTTCCGGCTCACTAGCACCGGGGTGTCATACTTGAGCAGAGAGTCAACTGGGGGAATCATGGTGGCTGCTGCTGTAGCAGTGGCTCCGCAGCCTTGTTTACTGTCACCATGGAAACCGACGCCCCACCCCCCCCTTCCTACCACTCGTGCCCAGCAGCCTGCAGCTGGGGGGCGGAGCTAGCGGTGGGGCGGGGCTCGTAGTGGGGCGTGGCGATAGGAGAGCTGGGGGATTGGCTGGCGCCCTACCAGCCCCAAGTTCTTTGCGCAGGTGTGGTGAAAAGAATCCTGCACTAGGCACGCACCCAGGAGCAACCAGATGGAACTTCATTTCTGTCACTTAGTTGTGTGGCCTTGGGCGAGAGACCTTTGGTTTCTTGGGCACAGAGGATGCTTCTGAGAAAAGCGCTTTGTACAACTTAAAGCGCTATAGAAATGAGAACTCTTAATTACCATAGTCTCCTTTATATTATTAGGCAGGTGTTCTTACCCTGGGTCTGTGACCTTGTTTATTTAACGTTTTGATAACTGCATTTCAGTATAATTGTTTTTCTTTATAATCCTGTGTGTTTTATTTCAGGTAGCTGGTGGTGCAGTGCATAGAGTTCTGGTCCTGGAGTCAAAAAGACCCGAGTTCAAATCCTGATTCAGACACTTACTAGCTGTGTAACCGTGGACAAGTCATGTGACCTCTGTCTGACTCAGTTTCCTCACCTGTAAAATGGGGATAATAGTCTCCCAGGGTTGTGGTGAGGATCAAATGAGATACTTGTAAAACAAATTTGTGAACCTTAAAGTGCCATATAAATGCTAGTTATTATTTATTTATTTGTGGTGAGGCAATTGGGATTAAGTGACTTGCCTAGAGTCACAGAACCAGTCAGAATTATTATTTTAAAACCTAAGCTTTATTTAGACTGTTAAAAGGGTCCTTCACATATACACAACACACACACACACACACACACACACACACACGGGTTAAGAACCTCTGTAAGCATCTTCTGCTGTCCTGTTGGAGGACTGGGAATGAGCTGCAGGGAACAGAAGCCTGGGTTTGAAACTTGCCTGAGGCACTTGCTGTGTAACCCTGAACAAGTCACTTCTTATTCATTCACAAATGAGAAATTTTTTTTCTGTTGTTATTTTGGAGTTTTATTTGTTGGACATGAACTTTCATTTATAGGGAATTCCTGGTGGTGAAACTCCTTCCAATGGTTCAGATAGGCAATCCTTCTGTAACTTCTGCAGACTTAGATAGAGCTGCCTGGGCCAATGAGAAACTTAACGACTCACCCAGCACCCTACAACTGCTCTGTGTCAGAATCCATCTTCCTGACTCCCAAGTTGGCCCTTTATTACACCAGGTTGCTTTTCCAGTTATTATTACCAGAATTCTTGATCTTCCTGCAGCTCTAAGCCCAGTTGTCTGCACGCAATCAGTGCTTAATAAATGCTTGTGCAGTGAAGGAATGAATCTGGTGCTATGCTTCACTCACAGGGAGCCTGTGCTATTCATCCGTGGGTGCCTTCCACTAGTAGCCTGAACTCCTCCTTTTACAACTCACAGAAATGCTGTTATTCCTTGTCACTTGTGGTGCAGCCAAAGTTCCTATGGGAGAGACCCTAGGGTAGATGGTGACGAGTGAAGACAAAAATCCTCCAGGGAGATAAGGGAGCTTTATGCTGGATGCCCTAAGAAGCTGGCACAGGTTGTTTCTTGGGTCTACTCTGGGCAGAGCAGAGTTTAAACCAAGGATGTTAAATAAGAAAGCATCTGTGGTCCAGTGGAAAGACCAAAGGTCTTTGAAAGACAATGGATCGGAGTTCAGTGGACCAGCCCCAGCTTGGATTCTGACTCTGCTCCTTACAGTGTGTGGCCTCAGTCACTCAACCTCCCAGAGTATCCTTTCTGATCTGTAAGATAAAGGGATTGAACTAAATTGTCCCTTAGCCTCCTTCTCCCTTTCTTCCTTCTAGCCTTCTTTCCTCTTTCCCTCCTTCTTCCCTTCTCTCCCTTCCTTTCTTCTTTCCTTCCTAGTATTTATTAAACACCTACCACTGAACCAGGCCCTATGTTAGCACTGGTTTAAAAAAAAAAAGCCTCTGCCCTCTAAGAGCTTGCATTCTATTGGGGAGAAAGTTCTACAAATTATGATCCTGCTCACTACCCCCTCTCCTCATCCCCTCCTCCACCGTCTCTTCCCTTTTTCTAGCAATAATAAGATAAGTGACAACGATACAGTCTGGTATAAGGGAGACAGCAAGGGACTTTGAACAAGAACATCTGGGTTCGAATCCTAACTCCTCCACTTGGAGCTGCGTGACAATGAGCGGCGAGGTGGCCCAGAGGGCTGGACCTGGAATCAGGGGAAGAGCCGAGTTCAAATCCGACCTCAGAAACTTACTGGCTGGTTGAACCTGAGCAGTTCACTTCACCGTTGCCTGCTTCCGTTTCCTCATCTGGAAAATGGGGGCAGTAACAGCGCCTACTAGGCAGGGCTGTTGTGAGAGTCCGACGAGGGTCTTCTGGGAGGGCCGAACGAATCCCAGCTGTTGTTGCCCAGGGAAAAGGCTGGGTGGGCGTGGTGGGGGTGGGGGCGGGCCAACGGAACTATTTTTTTTTTTAAGGTTCTTGGTTTTCAGGTGCACGTGTTCTGTCACCGAGGCTCACCAGAACTTCTCTCACCTCCTTTTCCAAGAGCCGCGCCATTTCCAGCAGCGACCGCCAGGGGGCGCCAACACTACGTGACCCAAAGCCCTCCCGGGGCCCGACTTCCGTTCGGCTGCCGGAAGGAGAGTCGAAGCTGCCCCGGAAGCGGAAGCGGCGGGGTACGCGCTCGGGCTGTCGCTGAGGAGCCTACTGGCCCGGGCCGCGAGGATGAAGGAGGCGAAGCCCGAGCGGGAGCGGAGGCAGCGGCGGCGGCGCCGGCGGCGGCGGGAGGACGAGGACGAGCCGGGGGAAGCGGCGGGGAACGAGGTGCTGGTGCCAGATCTGTCGCTGGTGAAGCAGGAGCGGCGCAGCCCGACCCCCGCGTCCCGCTCTCACCGGCCCCGGTCGCGGGCCCGGCGCGGCTCCTCGGGAAGTCCGAGCCCGGCGCCGGAGGAGGAGGCGCCGCTGCCGACCCCGGCCTCGGCCCCGCGAGCCCGCGGCGCTCGTGCCTCCGGCGACCGCGCCGGCAGCTGCAGCAGGTACGAGCCCATTTCCTCCCCCCTGCAGGCTCGGGGATGCCTCACTCGTCCTCACTTCGGCCTTGCTTCCTCAGCCGGTCCCAGTTGCCCTTCCTCACGCCTTCTCCCTCTTGCTCCACAGCTCTGGAGAGACGCTGGTGTTCAGGCTTCTGATTGTGATGGTTGGCCCCCCCCCTTGGGTGCCCCTGCTGGGTCAGCCTCCTTGGCCCATTGCCCCCTCCCGATCTGGTGGCCCCGCGCCTTTCTCCAGACGTCCAGCGTTCTGTTTACTGCGCTTCATGATCCCTCCAAGGCTCTTCTCCCCGAGATCCATCCCTTCCCTTTTCCTGGTCCAGCCCCAGCCCTGTCCTTCCGAGGAAGTCTTTCCTTACACTCTTTCTCAACTGTCTGCAAACTTTTATGGTTCTTTATAGGACCTTTCCAATGCCTTTGGTCTTGTTGCGGTCTAGGGGTGCTGGGAGCCCCCGAAATTCAAGGGCAAAAGGCGCGGGTCCTGCCTCGAAAGAATTCGACTCAAGCCTTCTTTCAGTCAGAGACAAGGTTGGGGGGCGAGATTCCTAGTGAGTCTACACTATTGGCCAGATTTTTAAGAATCTGAGCAATTTAATGGGGGCAAGATGGACTCATATACAGAAAGACTGTGGGAAGATCTGGATGTGATCAAGGAGGAGCCAATAGCTTGGGGTGACTGGAAGGCACCCCGAGAAGAGGTCTAGATGGGATTAAGGGTAGGAAATAGCCTGGGGTGGTCCCGAGGCCACAGACAGTGAAGGGCTGGGTTAGAGGTAGCAGAAAATCGAAGGTCAGAGCCACAGTGAAAAACAGTTGAAAGGATTGTGCTCGGTGTCTCAGGCAAACGCCAGAGACTGAGAAAGTTCAGGGGCTTTTCCTTTGTGTGTGTGTGTGGGGGGGCAGATCTCAAAGACATGGTCTTTTTCTTTTAAGGGTTCAAATCCCATCCCCACCGGTCTTACTTGTAGCTATTCCTGAGCAGGTTTATTCCTCTTAGAGAGGTAGCAGTGGTGTGGTAGAAAGAGCTAGTGAGACCTGAGTTCTAATTCTGGCCCTGCCACTTATTAGCCTTCTGATATTGGCTAAGGTGATTTCTTTTTCTGACTCAGTTTTCTTAGTTGTAAAATAAAAATAAGAATGCTTGCATAAATTATGTTTTTGTTGTTCAGTTATGTTGGAGGCTTTGTGACCCCATTTGGGGTTTTCTTGGCAAAGATACTGGAGTGGTTTGCCATTTCCTTCTCCAGTTCATTTTACAGATGAGGAAACTGAGGCAAACATGGTTAAGTGACTTGCGCAGGGCCACACAGCTAGTGAGTGTCTGAGACCAGATTTGAATTTAGGAAGATGAGTCTTCCTGACCCCAGGCCTGACGTTCTATCCGCTTTGACACCTAGCTGCCATATTCATTATATTAGAGAATTATTTTGTGGGTGAATTGCGATAATGTACATAAGGGCTTTGTAAGCCTAAGGGGCTATCTGGATATGAGTGATTACTTTTATCATTATTTACTGTCGTTATTTTTTGTCCCAGAATATAGAACTAGGCGTTGTTGGATTTAATTCATTTTACAGAGTTGTTGTGAGGATAGGAATTTGTAAACTGTACAATATAACTAATCTGGGGCAGCTAGGTGGCACATTGGATAGAGTACCGGCCCTGAAGTCAGGAAGATCTGAGTTCAAATGCGGCCTCAGACACATAACATGCACTAGCTGTGTGACCCTGGGCAAGTCACCTAACCCCATTACCTAGCCCCCCCCCCCAAAATAACTGTAATCTGCTGTTGCTATTCCTCTGCCCTCAATACCTACAAACAAGATTTTATGCCTCTTGAAGGATCTGTATTGCTTTTCATCTTTCAAGCCCTTTCACTACTACCCTACACCCTTCCCCCCAATATTTTGTTTATATGTTAAGATTCTGTGGTTTCCTTGGTATGAGTTACCCCTTCTTTTAACACAAGTTGAAACATTCCTCCACAATTTAATAGATGGTTTTTATGAATTGTTGTGATCAATCACTTGGCCAGCCTTCTCGTGAGGCTAGCCTTCTAGTAATGAGCCTCTTCAAATTTATTTAGACTGGTCTTGAAGCAACAGACACAGTCTTATCACCGGTGCTGAACTTGAAGCCCTTCCAACTTATTTCAGGCATAGTCTTGGGTCACTCAAGGTCACGATCATTTCTGGAGGAAGCATTGGAGATTTCAGTAAAGCAGAGTAATGGGGCTGAGGGGATGGGGTGAGGTAAAGGTTACCAGTAAAATCTTCCCTGAGTTGAGATTTAGTTAAAGCTGGAAGGATTCATTTCAGTTAAGTAAAGATGAGGCTATAAAGAAGAAATAAGACACAGTGTACGAGGGGATTGGGTTGATAGTGATCAGGGAGGATCTTAATAGAAGAGGTGACATCTGCATTGGACCTTGAAGGAAAGAGAGGAAGTTGGAGGCAGGTTCTAATCCAGGTATTTAGTTTAACTGAATCTTATAGATGGGGAAATTGAGGTTTAGAGAGTCAAGGACTTGCTAATTGCAAAGTATCTTCTGTACCATGAAGTCACAGGGTTTCATATTTCATAGCCCTATGTAATTGCTGTCCTGCCCCTATACCCCCCATTCCACTTCCCTTTTTTTTTGGAGAAGCAGCATAATATAGTGGGAAAAGCACTGAGTTTGGGATAAGAATATCTTTGTTGGAGTCCTGGTTCCAGCATTCTGTGACTCTTATTAGCTGTGTGAGCATTGCCTAAGCCTTTTTGAGCCTGAGTTTTATTTGCCAAGTGGGGATAATCATACTGTTTGGTTCATGGGGCTGTCACAAAGAGGTAGATCTTTTTGTAAATTGTAAACTGCTGTAGAAATGTGAATTGTTATAGCCCATGATCATACATTAAGTGGCAGATCTAAGATAATAATTTAGATCTCCTGATCTAAAGGTAGTTTTTACTGTAGTGTAGTCCTTTTTTTTTTTCCTTGTGTTCATTTACCAATGCTTGCAAAATTTTATTCTTCAGCAAGCCTATGATAACCCATAGCAGCCCAGGTAGGAGATGTCAAAAACTTTTTTCTTTGGGGAGGGGAATTGGGGTAGAGATTCAAAACTTAGCCATCAATTCCTGTGTGTACTGTGTTTTCTAAAGATCTCCAACCAAAAGGAAAAACAAGTCCTTTGGGAGAAGAAGCAGATCTCCTCGGAGTAAGAGAAGCCGTAGCCCTCACCATCCCGTAGTCAAGGTGAAGCAGGTAACTGCAACTGATATGACTCTTTCCCAAGTTCTGAATCTAAGAATTTCTTCATACTAGTGTCAGAATGTGAACTTTCCTCTTCAATTGGGAAGTGAGTCCCAAGGTTACAACTTTACTTTTATGGAGGGAGATGGGCAGGATATAGACTAGTTTTCATTAAAAGAACTAGTTACTTGAAGAGCTTGGAACATAAATACACGTACTATCATTTTTAAGGTTCAGAACAAGAGTGGGGAAGCCCTGGCCACTGCTCGTATTCCATGGCAAGTGTTCCATGATGAGCTATTGGTTCTACCACTTGGAGAATAAATTATCTTTGGGCATCTGGTAGTAGCTTTCCCAGAGTGGAGCCACTGTCTACATGCTGTAGCTCTCTATTATCTAATTCTTAAATGTACAGCTCTTTAACAGCATGTTACTGTTAGTCTGAGGCTTTCAGAATGTAACTTAAAAAAAATAACTATCAGAGTAATTATCTTGAAATTTCTTATCTTCCTTCCTCAAATTCCTAAAAAGCTAGCTACTGTGAATGAATCTCAGAAATATATGTGAGACAGAACAACGTGGCCCAAATTTAATATTCATACCAAATAATTTTAACACATACGTTGATCATTTTTGGTTTATCCCAAAGAGAAATACAGGCAGCCTCTGTTTTATAGGTACTTATACTTACCCTCCTGCATCTTCCTCATCCCACAATGGAAGCCAATTGTGAAAAAATATGGTGTAACATTTTTTTTCCTATGGGAAGAAGTGTTCTGGGTTTCAGATAGTGAACCTGCAAATGAGCTTTGGAAAGTAACCTCATTAATTGGGAACTGTCTGCATTTGAATGGTTTCTTGAATTTCAGGAACGTGAAAGTGAAAACCGTCCCCGGAGAGGAAGAGATGAAAGGCAACACAGGGAGCAATCCGAACAAGAACACAGGCGGGAGAGAAATGGTGATCGGGACAGACACCATAGTCATTCTAACCAGAGGAAGACTGCCAGTGAGAGGCCTAGTGGTGGGCGAAATCGAGATGCCCAGAACCTACAGGAACAAGAAGCAGAAAGAGAGTTTTATAATTCTCGGCGACGGGAGCGTCGCCAGAAGAAAGATGCAGGTGGCAGCAGTGATGAGAATCAGGAAATTGTTCTTCAGTCTGCCGGTGGCCACAGTAAAGGAAAAGACCCACCAAATAAAGAGAAACCCAGCTTTGAACTGTCAGGGGCACTCCTTGAGGATACCAACATGTTCCGGGGTGTGGTAATAAAGTATAGTGAGCCTCCAGAAGCACGGATCCCAAAGAAACGCTGGCGCCTTTACCCCTTTAAGAATGATGAGGTGCTCCCTGTCATGTATATCCACAGACAAAGCGCTTATCTTCTGGGCCGACACCGGCGAATTGCAGATATTCCTATTGACCATCCCTCCTGTTCAAAGCAGCACGCAGTATTTCAGTATCGGTAAGTCTTAGTAAAACTTCAACTTGTTACCTTTAAGGTAATCAGTAAGTCAGGGCTTCTATGTAGCTATTTCTGCAGTCACTCTTAAAACATAACTGGCCCATGTTTCTTTACCACATGGCAGTTTACAAAGTAATTTTTTCCACAGCCATCTGAGGGAGGGTAGAGCAAGTATTGTTATTTATCCCAATTTTTAGATTAGGAAACTGACAAGGCTCTGAGAAACTAAATGACTTCCCCATAGTCTCACAGTTAGTAAGTGCCAGAATTAGGACTTTTTAAATCCAGGTCTTTGAACTTCCAAGTCTAGTGCTCTTCTTCTTTCCATTATATTACACTGCCTTCTCAAGCTTTTGACTTAATTTAAATGTATGTAAATAACCCGAATACCTCCATTTGTAGGACTCAAACCCTATTTTGGGGTGATCAGACCCCATGTGTCGAATATTGCCTTTGTGGATTTCACTGAGCTAAATGGAGCCTGGTTTTCTGTGGGTCTCAGTGGGTGAAAGAAAAATCACACAGATATTTCTTTAATTTTCTTCACATACTAGCCATGTCATGAAACCCTTTATTCTAAGCAGCACTAATGAATGGGTTTGCTTTGATTTTTTGATTTATACTTTCCCACCCCTTGTCTTTATGATCTGTAAAAGAGTTCTTCAATAGGCATTATTCACTCTTCCTACAACTTAGGTATATAAGCAACTTCTTCTACCCGTGTACCTACTCTGATTTCCTTATTTGGAGGAATTTTAACTTGAGCTAGTAATAACGTTGTTTATGTCATTTAGTCTACTTAGGAAAAGACAGCTGTACGTTAGTGAGCCTGGTCTATATGCCCAGTGCTTTTGCATGAACTAATTTAAAGTTCTGGTTTCTTCTTTTGCTAGGCTTGTAGAATACACCCGTGCTGATGGAACAGTTGGCCGAAGGGTAAGGCCGTATATCATCGACCTTGGCTCAGGCAATGGGACCTTCTTGAACAACCAGCGCATTGAGCCACAGCGTTACTATGAACTAAAGGAGAAGGATGTGCTCAAATTTGGGTTCAGTAGCAGGGAATACGTACTGCTTCATGAGTCTTCAGACACCTCTGAGGTGGATAGAAAAGAAGATGAGGATGAGGAGGAGGAGGAAATATCTGACAGCTAGCAAATTCAGAAGAAGCTCCTGTAGCTGTTAAGAGAATTTTTCCTTTGTGGAAGGCCTGAACTTGGGATTTAAAGAGCAGAGCAGCACTCCCTGGTGCCTCTTATTGCCTTAAGTCTTTCCTCTGTTGCTGATCAGCTTATGTTAAAATTTAAGAAATTTGATAATTTGTGTTTTTGGTTGAACTTATTTCTGTGATCTGTTAGCCACACAAGTGTGGACATTTGCTTTCAGAATAATTTCACCAATAACAGTCGTCCATTGTGTGTAGTAGAAGCATGATGGCGTGGCATGAGTTGGTGCTCTGGAAACTATTGCCTGGTAACTGTAGACCCTTGGTTAAAAAGAGAAACATGGCATGTTCTCTTTGTACAGCTATTTGCTTTGTACAGTGACTTTTTAAGAAATATGGACCAGCAGTTTTTCATGTTTTATTTTTTGTAAATACCTAGACAGAGAATTTGGCCCAAGTTTTGGTTGTCAGCAGAACAGACCCTCCCATTGTATACTCTGAAGCTTCAATCCAGTTAACACTGAATCATAGAAATCTGTTTCATTATTTAGGTCTTTGGGGATGAGAATTTCACGACACATATGACTTTACTGACTGCTTATATGCAGACAAATGTTGGGTGCTGATGAAATACATGACAGAGCAGTAAAATCATGGCTATTTTGAGGAAGAGATTAAAATGGTCCATGGATCTATTTCTTACATAAGAGGATACTGTATTTCCCAAGTAGCTTGGGTCTGTCATTAATTTGGGTTTTCTTGTCTGTTTAACTGCTTTGCATTTATTATAATACCACTTTTTTCTCCTAATTCATAGCATCACTTGTGTGGAAGGATTGCCTCAGATGTTGGGAGCAGTCTGTTCATTTTAACTAGATTTGTGTGTGCTGGAAATTTTTTTTCTGCTTGTATTTTTTAATATCCTGAAAGGCCATGTCTGTCATCTTTTCCCCACCACAAGCAGGGAGGAGCTGAGGCAAGGGAAATACCTATTTACTAATCTTCCCCAAGTCAAATATGTGTGCGTCGAATTTTGTCTGTGTACATATGATGTATATATAAATTGGATGTGAGTATGTGGGGGTGGTGGCTGGAGGTGTATACTACATGCATCTGAGTGGGTTTTTTTTGTAATGTAAATGGAATACTACATTATGAGTAAAGGCATAGCTCACCCTGTTATTTGAATAGCAGGATCTCATTTATATGTAGTTTGGGATCACACAATAAAAGAATTTGTAAATGTAGCCCTACTCAGCCCCAAAGTGTAATACTTTTCTAGTATAAAAGTTTTTGATATTTTTTGTTTTTTAAAAAGGTTTAAGTTTTTAAATTTTTTTTTGAAGTAGAAATGAATGATAATTGAGAGGGGAAAGAGGTGGGAACACAACTGACAATCTGAACTAAATTCCAGATCACTAATCCATATAAATGAGTGTTGAGCATTTTGAAGCATCAGTGCTTTCTAAATTGGGAGCGAAATGTTTATCCTTACCAGTGAGTGTAAAGAAGCTTTTGTGTATGCTATGTATATTTGGCTCTGTATAAACCAAGGCCTGATTATTCAGTTGATGGATTATCTGTGCCCTTCCTCTCTTCACCTCCCATAGGGCCTTGCTATTTCAATCTACGCAAACACCGCTACCAGAATGTTGGCTAGGGAAAGAAAAAGAAAAATGGAAAGTCAATCAATTTTGCTATTAATTAGTTCTTAGGTTGAAATGTATGAAACTTTGAGATAATCTCTGCATGTGGTTATTTATCCCTGCTTTTCTCCCAATGTATCTTGTTATGGATGATGTTCAGACAGCTGACCAATGCTGACCACTGGTATGTGGTGACACGGAGTGGGGTTTAATGTTCGTTGTTCAGCTTGGGCGACAAAAAGCCTTGGAAAACACCTGAGATTTTGTGGAAATTTAGTAAGTTTAAAATTTAAAGAGGCAAAAACTTAGCAATTTGCAGTTTGTTCCCCTAGGTCTTTGTCTCTAGTGACTTTCCCAGCTACTACATGCTTAGTGTCCACTATCCAATGTACGTATGTATGTATAGAACCTGATTTTATGTTTTTAAATTTTCTTTGAAACAGACTGAGTTTTCCCTTGGCCTGCTCTTGTTCTTTGTCTCTCTCACTCCGGTGCCTCTCTGATCAGTTGTGTTGCTACACTGATTGTCAGTGGGTTTTCAGATCACTTGATGCTACAAGGCAGCTCTAAGTTTTACTTCTAGCCTCCACCCTGGTGGATGTATCAATAGAGCATGGAGAAAATACCAACTTTCCTACATGCTGACAGCACGGACAGATGTTTTTATACTAGATTTTCTTCTTGACAAACGAGTAACAGTTCCTGGATTCGATGATTCTGATGGAAGATTTCTTTATAAAGGATGGAAACAGTGGGCCTGGGAGCAAGGCCACCTGAGATGCAATTCTCCTCTAGCTCCAAAGCCAGGTATCACCAGCAAATTTCTAAACTGGAGTAGTGACAAATGTTGTGCAATAGTTCTTATATATTGTCTGAGAAACATGTTTAGTTGGACCATTTGGTTTCCTCTTCTGCCATCTCTTGTCAAACTTAACTAGTTTGTTTTCAGTACCTTTTCTACTCCAAGGAAGAATGACTGTCTAAACCAAAGCAAAGTGAAAATCAAAATGCTTTTGAACTCTGGTCACTTGCATCTCCTTGCTGAATTCTGTAGTCAGTCTGAGGTTCCCCTGGGTTCTGTGTGAGTCTCATTTCTTCAAAACTTCCCATTAAGTGTTTTCTCCAGTCATACCATACCCACCCCTTCATCCTCTTATAAACAAGCAGCATCTCAGTAACTGCAATTTGTGAAACAACCTTTATCCTGACTTAGTAATAAATAAAAGCAGAATTAATAGCTTGTGTCTATAAAGAATAATTTGATTTGGGTTGCATTTTTTAATGGAATTTTTATTATTGTATTTACATCAGTATGTCAGTATGCAATGCAGCAAGGTTTTAGAAATCTCATCACTTTTTAAAAAACAGATTTTCAGGATGATTATTATTTGATAAATAGTACAAATGTTTACATTTTATAAGTCCTTTCCTCCCTTTTTAAAAGTCAGTTATTTGGCCAAGAAATGAAACAATGTTAAGTTGAAGTAGAGTTTCCATGTGGTATATTCAGGTATATGCCAGCAGTCTTTGAAGTTTAAGATAAAGTATTCAGAATATACTATGTTCACAAATGTATATAAGTTTGTATCAAGTGAAATAGCTACTCACTTTTAAATTAAAGTTTTGGAATTAAAAACTTTTTTTTTGGCTTTGATCTCTTGGTAACTCGGGGGGTATACTTTAACATAGGAACTAAATTAAAGAGATTTAACTGGTTCTCTCTATCATTGCAATTTAAGATCTCAGTAATTCAATAAATCTTCAAAAGTCAATCCCTTGACAAACCTTCTTGCTGATAGTCTACAATATTTGGATTTAAATTCCAAGTAATAGTTACCAGAGGATCCACATTACCACTTCCAAAATACCCACTATGTGAATGGTCTTGCATTGGGAATCAGGTTTCCTGAATGGAAATGCAATTGGCTCAGTCACACCATACATTATACAAGAAATAAATTAATCACACATTGTCTTGAGTGCTGGGGAAAGGTATAAATTTGGGATGACAGGGTCCTGATTCATAGCCTTGTATGCAGCATCATTAATTTGCTAGATAATAATGCTTCCCCATAATTTAGTATAGGAAGAAGTGAAAGGTTCTCCATTTGTCAAAATTCCAGGGACATTTTGAAAGAGATGAGTTTTTGATTACCCAGTTGGAGGTTAACTAAGGATGCCAGGCAGTTTAGATGTCTGTTTTTTGAAAGTGTGGACAGTGTACTATGGTGGAAAGAGAGTGGACTTTGGAGGACTCAGTTTCCTCATCTATAAAACAAAAAGGCCAAACTCCAGCTTCTAAGATCTTTTAAGGCTCTGATATGACCTTGTTACTCTGGATATTTGTGATAGTTTTCCCAAATGACTGCCTTCTTACTTGGCCCTAAAAACAATACTCTGCCTCCCTAGGATGGAATGATGATATGAAAACCCTTTTTTTAGAAAGGTGCTGAAGGGAACTATGAAGTGGTGATTTGCTTGTGTTTGGGCCTCCAGAATGATTCCAGCATCTTCAATATCATGTAGATGCTCCATTCGATAATTCACAGTAAGGTTTAAAACTGAATGACACAAAGCATCTGGATGTTTGACTGGTATTGGGACATCCTGGAGCACTGAAGTGCTGGATTTTACCACCTGCATGACTGGGGGAAAGATGACTTCTGTTTTCTTATATCTAAAATGAGGGGATTAGATCAGGTAGCTTTTGAAGTCCCCTCCAGCTCTAAACGGGCAACCCTATTACATGTTTACCTCATCCGATTTCTTTGGGGTAGAGATGGTAAAGAGGCTGTGGAGGGGTGTTTGTGTGTACAATCCTTAACTCTCCAAGCCTTCTAAAAAGTCTGGTTTTTCCTGTCTCCCCTTCCAATTTATTTTTCTCATTTTGTCAGGCTAATATTTATTTTTTTTAGGTGAGGTAGCTGGTGTTAAGTGACTTGCCCAGAGTCACACAGATAGTGAATGTTATATGTCTGAGGCCGCATTTGAACTCGGGTCCTCATGACTCCAGAGCTGGTGCTCTATCCACGGTGCTACCTAGCTGCCCCCAGACTAATATTTCTAATGTACACTTGTTTAATCACATCCCTCTGTTAAAAAAAAATCTTTAGAGCAGAGGTTATTAACCTTTTTGGTATCATGAATCTCTTTTGCAGTTTGATAAAGTCTATAGACATAGAATGTTTTTAAATAAAATAATAAAGTACATGGGATTACAAAGGAAACCAATTCTACTGAGGTAGGTACCAAACAAAACATTTTGAAAGTTCGCAGATCCCAGGTTAAGAGGCTCTGCTTTAGTTAAAGCTTCTGATGACCTTTTGACTAAAATCCAGACTACTTTGTATTCAAAACCCTTCATAACCTAGTCCCAACTAATCTAGGCCCACAACCTTAGATGTAAGCTGATCTTGTACTCTTCCTCCTTGTATGCTGCAGGCTCCAGTCAAATTGGACTATTTCCTTCAAACACATTACATCTTTCCCCACCTCTGTATTTTTAATTAAACCTACCCCAATGACCAGGATGTCTTCTTTCCTAGTCTCTGCCTGTGGCCATCCTTCAAGGCTCAGCTCAGATGCATCTCCATTGGAAAGCCTTTTTCTGATAAACATAGCCAGATCTGAAATATATATATACACATACATACATATACATATATATATGCATATATACATACACACACATATATACATATATATTTGTTTATTGGTCCAAACCTGATTTTATTGATTTAGAGAACTGATGAAGTGACTTCCTCTACCAATTCAATGCAGCTATCAATGCAGCTTCCACTCTGTGAGAACTTAAGCAATTTACCCAGGATCATTCATCTAGTATATCTCAAAGGTGGAACTTGAACCTCTATCTTTGTTATGTTGAAGCTGATTCTGGCCACAAACCCAGGATTCTTATTTAATACACATATATTCTAATTTGTGAGGGCCAGGGTTATATAATCTGCCTCGTCCCCAGCCCAAGCATAAATGTGCTTTGCCTATGACTAATAAATATCTGGGTAAATGCAAGTATTTTTCCTAGTAAGGATGAATAGAGGATCTGTTACCTGTTACCCTTGGCAGAGTACTAATAGCCTACCTTTTTCCAATTCCTTAAGATTAACTCACAAAACTTGTGAAATAGGTAGTTGTCATCATCATCATCATCATTTTACAAATGAAGAAATAGGTTCCGAGGAGGGAAGTTACTTGCCCAGAGCATCAGAACCAGAACTGAAACCATGATCTTCTGACTCCAGGCTTTTTATTTGTGACCACATTGCTTTTTATACAATTGCATGAAATTTCTGTCACGGGCACAAACTTTTCAACAAATTATTTATTAAGTGCCTACTCTGAACCAGGCACTGAGTTAGGTCCTGAAGATAAAAAGGCAAAAACAGTTCTGCTGTCAAGGAGCTCACAGTCTAATGGGGAGCACCACATACGAACAACTATGTACAGACAGGCTGTATACAGGATAAGCTAGAAAAAGCAGAAGGAAGGTACCAGCGTGAAATAGTGGGAAAGGCTTCTAAAAGGTGGGATGTTAGCCGAGACCTGAAGGAAGCCAGGGAGGTCAGTAGTCAGAGCAGAAGAGGGAGAGCATTCCAGGTACGTGGGAGAGTTAGTGAAAATGCATCAAGTTGGGAAATGGAGTAGCTGGATTGGTGTCTGTGAAGGGGAGTAATGTGTCAGAAGACTGGAATGATATTTTTGAAGTTTTCCCAACAGTAATGTAAAATACAAAGTATAAGTATTGATAGTAGCCACAAAGCTGGGAAGCCTTTCAGTGTAGACCCAGTGACATTATGTTTTTCTACTGAGAACTGGCCTAGCTAAGTTTGGAGAGGCATACTGCCAGATTAGCTTGGGGAATGATGAACTTCTGCCACTGAGAGACCTATTAAGTTGTAGAGTTGTGATCTGTGATGATGGACAGAGCAGTCACACTGATGTAATTGCATCCCATTGAAGTATTTAATTCAACAAACATTAATTATGCACTTAAACACTAGAGTACATAGACAAAAGTGACAAACAGTTTCTGCCCTCAAGGAGTTTATTTTTTACTGGGTATTAGTCATTATTAAGTGACCATTTTCATCAAGACCAATCCCACTATATGCATCCTTGATCCTTCCCATATTCTTCAGCAGATTTCCCTTACAATTATTACCTCTCCAACTCCCTCCACTCTCCCTGTTTGTTTCTTTCCTGTTGCTTACAAATACACTCAATCCAAATACACCTTGACTACCACCTCCACTTGGACCTTGATGGCCAAGACCTTGAGCCTTCAGAATAAAAGCATTCCCCAAACCACCAAACCTGTTTCCAGTCTAGCCTCTGAGCAGCCACCATTGAGGGGAGAAGTCATTGTGGAGAAGGAGCTCACCTTCCTTGTCACCAATTGTGACCATGAATAGGCGAATAGG